GGTGGTGCAGATCTGCCTGCAGTCCCGGGACTGCAGGCAGCTTTGCGCGGCCATCTGTAGCGGGGCGGGCTTCGCCCCCGGCTCCCGATGGCCGCGCAGAGCTGCGCTGATCCCGGGATGGCAGACAGCTCTGCGCCGCCATCCCGAGCGGGGCGGGACTTAGCGCCCCGCTCGGGATGGTGGCGCAGATCTGCCTGCAGTCCCGGGACTGCAGGCAGCTTTGCGCGGCCATCTGTAGCGGGGCGGGCTTCGCCCCCGGCTCCCGATGGCCGCGCAGAGCTGCGCTGATCCCGGGATGGCAGACAGCTCTGCGCCGCCATCCCGAGCGGGGCGGGACTTAGCGCCCCGCTCGGGATGGTGGCGCAGATCTGCCTGCAGTCCCGGGACTGCAGGCAGCTTTGCGCGGCCATCTGGAGCGGGGCGGGCTTCGCCCCGGCTCCCGATGGCCGCGCAGAGCTGCGCTGATCCCGGGACGGCAGACAGCTCTGCGCCGCCATCCCGAGCGGGGCGGGACTTAGCACCCCGCTCGGGATGGTGGCGCAGATCTGCCTGCAGTTCCGGGACGGCAGACAGCTCTGCGCTGGCATCCAGAGCGGGGCGGGACTTAGCGCCCCGCTCGGGATGGTGGCGCAGATCTGCCTGCAGTCCCGGGACTGCAGGCAGCTTTGCGCAGCCATCTGTAGCGAGGCGGGCTTCGCCCCCGGCTCCCGATGGCCGCGCAGAGCTGCGCTGATCCCGGGATGGCAGACAGCTCTGCGCCGCCATCCCGAGCGGGGCGGGACTTAGCGCCCCGCTCGGGATGGTGGCGCAGATCTGCCTGCAGTCCCGGGACTGCAGGTAGCTTTGCGCGGCCATCTGGAGCGGGGCGGGCTTCGCCCCGGCTCCCGATGGCCGCGCAGAGCTGCGCTGATCCCGGGACAGCAGACAGCTCTGCGCCGCCATCCCGAGCGGGGCGGGACTTAGCGCCCCGCTCGGGATGGTGGCGCAGATCTGCCTGCAGTCCCGGGACGGCAGACAGCTCTGCGCTGGCATCCAGGGCGGGGCGGGACTTAGCGCCCCGCTCGGGATGTGGCGCAGATCTGCCTGCAGTCCCGGGACTGCAGGCAGCTTTGCGCGGCCATCTGGAGCGGGGCGGGCTTCGCCCCGGCTCCCGATGGCCGCGCAGAGCTGCGCTGATCCCGGGACAGCAGACAGCTCTGTGCCGCCATCCCGAGCGGGGCGGGACTTAGCGCCCCGCTCGGGATGGTGGCGCAGATCTGCCTGCAGTCCCGGGACGGCAGACAGCTCTGCGCTGGCATCCAGAGCGGGGCGGGACTTAGCGCCCCGCTCGGGATGTGGCGCAGATCTGCCTGCAGTCCCGGGACTGCAGGCAGCTTTGCGCGGCCATCTGTAGCGGGGCGGGCTTCGCCCCCGGCTCCCGATGGCCGCGCAGAGCTGCGCTGATCCCGGCACGGCAGACAGCTCTGCACCGCCATCCCGAGCGGGGCGGGACTTCTCTGCTGTCCCGGGGAGATTTTAAAATGCTGGGGGTCGGCAGCGAACGCTTCGCTTCCGCCCGCCAGCATTTTAAGATCGCCCGGGGCAGCGGAGAAGTCTCCGCTGTCCCGGGAAGGCAGGTGGGGGGGAGCAAAGACTTTTGCCCCCCGCCGGCCTTCAGAAGAGGTCCAGGTCCAGGACCTCTTCTGAAGGCCGGCTGTGGGCGAAAGTCTTTGCTCCCGACCGCCAGCAATTTAAAACAGGTCCCCGGAGATTTCCCTATGGGCTTTCGTCTTGCGAAGCAAGCCCATAGGGAAATTCGTCTTGCGAAGCGCCTCCGAAACAGAAAACCCTTTCGTCTTGCGGGTTTTCCGTCTTGCGAGGCATTCGTCTTGCGGGGTACCACTGTATTCGTATACTGAATTGGCCCACGATTCTATACGTAGTTGATATAAGCCTAAATTGTAATTTCTGTGCTGTATTAATCTCCTTGGACTTCATATCCCCCCCCAACTCTCTGGGTTAAAAAAAAAAGTAAAATAAATTAGCCACACACTGGAAAACCATTCACTATGTGTGACTTTTGCAATCGTAATTAATGCTGTAATTTAGCATGGTTGTCATGCAATCAAATCTTCTACATATTAATCTGAGTTCACTGGGACTTATGTACATAGGATTGAAGCCCTAGTTTACACAAATAAATGGAGACACAGAAAACCTGGACCTGTGAAATACATGCAGTTTACCAGTTTATAAGCACCACTAATGTGATTATATGCATGGACTTGAACAACGGCATGCTGCTAAATATTTTATTTGTTATTAAGGCATTTCTTTTAAGACCTAAGTACATACATATTGCCACTGTGTACTTCTAATTAAAAACAATAATTTAATTTGCAGATGAATCAATATGCTAGCCCCCTCGCCTTATTTAATCATGCTATTTAGCTCTCTCTTCATTGCTCTGACTAAAGCAATGCACAAAGTTAAAAGTATGTGTCTGTTGTTTGCTGCGTTTTTAGTTTATATGCTTTTATTCCAAAGGTGCAAGGAATCCTCTACTGTCAGGAAACTGAACAATAATATCTGGAAACTTGTTCAATCTCCATGAGCATATATTCTGCAAACTCTGCATCTGGGAAAGGCTTACTAATTAACGCATTCATGAAGGAAAAATATACCCACCCAGCAACAATGCTACAGTGTTAAACTACTGAAGTGCCTCTAGGATTGCATTTTTACGTCATCTGCTCCTTTTTTTGGAAGCTCGCAACTAGCTGCCTGCTGGCTGCCTGAACTTTCACTCACTCACCTGATCATGTGATAATCGGTGTAAGAATTTCAATGGGGAATGGGTTTCTACTCCTTAACAGATACCAATGAGGGAAGCATTTAGCACTTCCCTCAACACTACAAACTTTGTCAGCAGAGAAGTTACATCTTGGGAACGTTCACCTGGGAGAACACAGCTGCACCTACAGTGGGTTTTAATTTCTTTCACATGCTCGGCACATCTATAAAACTACGTTTCTCTATAACATTGTTTCCTTTCATAAATTCCTTCAATAATGCTAACAATGTTTGATTTCCCTTTTATGTGTGTTATTATTATTTTTCAAGGCTTTCCTCTCATGGGCAGCCATACTTTCCTATGGCTCACCTTATTTCTCCCATTCTCCCTCTCCTTTTCCTTCTCCTGGTTTTAGAAGAAGCACATACTTTCTTGTGCGCGTCGTTTCAACATTCTTATTCCTCCCCCTTCCTTTTTCTTTCTTTAAATTGAATCCTATTTGTCTTCTTATCCCCTTCAGCATCTTGCACTTATGTCCTCTCTCTTGTCTCATTACAGACTCCCGACTCCCGATTATTCTTCCGTTCTTCTCCTTTACCTACCACCCATTTCCACCTTGATTCTTTCTCTGAATTTTCCATCCATCGCTTTTATTCTCCCCTCTTTATAATCTCATTCTCTAGATATTAGCTTCCCACCACCTTTCTTGCACACCCCGCACTGTTGACACAAGAATGAAGGCTGATTTCTTCCCCCTCACACCCACACACTACAAGCAAAGGGAGTCTGCTAGGAGACTGCTTTAGTCATAAATACCAACTGCAGAGATTTTTCTTATGTGCGATTACAGATTGCTGTGTATAGCTATTAATAGGCAAGTAGAGATAGCTAATTTAATGAGCAGGCAGTGTGTTAACTGATGTTTATTAACTAATTCAAGCATACATATCAGCACACAAAATTAGATGCATTCTGGCTCTGCTGGAAGAAATGGAAATATACTGAGAATATAGAAAATAGATTTTGCCAGTTAAAAGTGTAAATGGATTAGAAGAAACAAGTTGTACTTGACCATAAATCAACAACAAACTGTTAAACTTCATTTCCCCCTGTAATTGTACTTACCTTTTGAAATTTAGAGATTATAGCAATGGCCAAAATATAAGATAACTTTACACACAGTTGAAATTGAAGCCAAACATCTGGTGCCTGAGCCCTTGTACCAGACGATATTACATTTCAAAGCAGGATTTTAAAAATCCAGACTGGTGTTGAGCCTACTGCTGCCTCTGTTTTGGATGCAGTCAAGTGTAATGGGTAGGGAATATTTAACCAAAAGAGTAGTGAAAAAAGACATGTGTGTTGTTAATGATTTCAATTAATTCAGTCTGATCACTTCAGTAGCATAGCTGAAGCTGAATACAAATGACCACTTATCAAAGTAGGCATACTTAACATCCATCAACATGGCAAGAATTTCACCAACACCCATAGGGACAAACATAAAGCATTTCCAGAAAATGTGAAATTCTCCTTTGCGTTTAGGCAGATGTTGCCTATATGGTTACGCATTCACCACATTAAGTTGCTTGGGAAATGAGCACCTCTAGTTACCGTGTGTTCTGTGTTGCATACAGATTGGTGAGAAAATACTCTGCCTGCAGATGAAAATGGGGGAAATGGCACCTCCCTGTAGAAACTGAGCCAGCCACTCAATACATTGACATTTGTGACTCACCTTAGGCAGTGATGAGGCTAAAGTTGTCCCTGAAGAGAAAAAGGTCATCATAAGGCAGGTATCTTTTAAAAACAAAACAAAAACAAAAACTGGGCAGCCTAGAAGTCTTGCAAAATGATAGCCACCAATCAAGAGCTTTCCAGTGATGACAATATAGGAAATACAACAAATAAATGGTTGAATATACTGTCTCGTATAAGAAGGAAATGCCGAAGAAGGTTTTAGTGATAATTGTATTGTGAGCTTTATCTCAAAATATGGAGGAACAACTTCACCAAGAGTTTTACATAATACAGAGCGGAGGGAGACAGATTACTTAATAAATGTACTGATTCTTAAAGATATGTGGAATAAAGGCATGTCACCTGAACAATACAAAAAAATAATAATACTTGATTACAAATAGAACGATGCATTTGCTTTATGGGAATCAAGATGCAAACCTTAATACACATCCGAGAAAACAGCTATGTAAGATGTTATCCATACTGCCAAGCAAAAAGGAAAAAATATCTTACTTTTTCATCATCATCGGTGAAAGGAGCACCTCCAGGTGTTTTATTTATCGCTTGGGCAACGCCAAGAATTTCACCCTCACTGTTTCTTATGGGCATGCAAAGCAATGACTTGGTCTTGTATCCAGTTAGTTTGTCAATCTCGTCATTAAAGCGGCGATCCTACCCAAACAGAAAGAAAAGGTTATAATTGGGACTTACAACAGAATGCTTTTCTGCATTCAATCTATTGCAGTGCTGACCATCAAACATTTCCCAGGTTGAACTCACCAAACTTGATAGTGATTGCTTCCATCTATCTGGCCTTTGCTAAACCATAACTTTGAGCATGCTTTTGTAGTGCATGAGGTAACGATCATAAACATAGTCACGTATTGCATTTCTGTATATTGTACGTATACAAATGTTATTTCCCTCCCCCCACGTGTTCCTGGTTTTTTCTTTGCTTCTTAGGGTTAAGTATATTTCCCTCCGGTTTGGATTATTCAGATAGAATGCCTATAAATCCACTAGGAGACTTGAAATAGCACTTTTTAAAACATACACATTACTTGCAACTGATCAAAAAATCCACCTGTTCAATTTTACTTGAATCTTGCATTGCCTAAGAAGTGAGTCAAAGGTCACATCAGTTAATTCTTAGGATCTAAGTGTTTCAGAAGTGCCTCCTCTGCACTTTGAGCCCATAAGCTAACTGCCCATCGTCAACCTCACAAGAGCTGGAAGTGGCAGCGCACATCTCTGCTCTGTGAAGCATTTATCAGCACTGGTGCCATCATTAATGTCAAACCACTCCTACATCATATGTGCACCCTGGGTGCTAGCTCTGGGTTTTGCTAGATGTGAGTTCAAACAATTTTTTTCAAATACATAGTAGAGAGCAATAATTGAACTATTCTTACACAACCATCCCAGCCTATTATCTCTCGCCCTGATCTTGCCACTGTGATCCAAGCAACGGTCACCTCCAGGCTTGATTACTGTAACTCACTCTACGTGGGGCTGCCCTTGAGACTGACCCAGAAACTCCAGTGGGTGCAGAATGCCGTGGCGAGACTCCTTACAGGGTCTTCGCCGCAGGATCACATTCATCCAGTGCTATACCAGCTGCACTGGCTCCCGGTGGAGTACAGGATCAAGTTTAAGGTGCTGGTTTTAACCCCTATACGGCCTAGGACCCTCATACCTACGGGACCGCCTCTCCTGGTACACCCCACAGAGGACTTTATGGTCTGCAAATAATAACACCTTGGAGATCACGGGCCTCAGAGAGATTAGGCTGGCTTCGACCAGGGCCAGGGCCTTTTCAACCTTGGCCCCGGCCTGGTGGAACGCTCTGTCACAAGAGACTAGGGCCCTGCAGGTTTTGACATGTTTCCGCAGGGCCTGCAAAGACAGAGTTGTTCCGCCAGGCCTTTGGTCGGGGTTCAGTCTGACTCCCCTTTCCTTTTTGTATAAGAACTAATATGAAAGAGGCCTCCCAGCATTCTCACAGGCCCATATAAGATCAACGTAAACAGTTGGGCCGATGAACACTTACTGTTCCCAACCCTTACCCTGCGGAAAGTCATCTAATTAGACTTTAATTTGATTTTGACATGTTTTTAGGAGGTAATTTAATTATTGTTTGATTTTATACCAATGTTATGTATCTGATGTTAGCTTCCCTGAGCATGACTTCGGCTGGGGAGGGTGGGATATAAATAAAAGTTTTTTATTATTATTATTATTATTATTATTATTATTATTATTATTATTATTACAGCAAGATGGAGCTTAAGCCCCTGAAAGATCCACACATGTATGCTAGAATTTTATCATGGATATCTTGTGTTGATTATAAATTGTGCAACAACACAAGCATTATATCTAAACAAAACCACACAGCATCACCTAAATCAAAGGTTTAAGAGTCTCAAGAAAATGTAAATCCCAGAAATCCAATTTGTTGTATGGTTATTGTCAAAACAGATATGGATTTTTTTAATAACAACAACAAAAAGCACAGCAGAGTATCAAAATATTTTCTTACGCCGGTCCCTTGGTATTATGCTCACTTCATCTAAATCTAGAACATTCCTACATCCTTGACTATTTGCCTCCAGTCCATTTCATACTTCAAAAAATTTAAGGCATTCGATATTTCTCTCTTGACTGGATCAATTTATGTCTCTACAGTAGTCTCTAATTGGATTCCTCACACTGGTAGAGGTTTACTTATGGAAGATAAAAGAACTGTGTTACCTAATCAAAACTTCTTTTCTTTACAGGAGATATAAAGAAGGTCCCAAAGGACCTTGGCTTCACTTCTGCCACCTAAACGAAGAGAATAAATGCATACTTTCCCCCAGAATCTTTTCTCTTTGTGTATTCCTGTTATATCACTTTTGCCAAGGCTGTCTTGTATCGGGTTGTCTTGTTTTATAAACTACCATTTTTTTAAAGCAAACATTTCCCCTTTGAAATTAACTTTTAAATGTACTTCGAACAGTCCTTATAATAAAAAAGAGGAACCCTTAAAGAAATATTTCTAAGTCTCAGCATATATACACCCTTTTATATATGTAAGTTGTAAAACACATACAGCTTCTTCATAAATTACATAATTTCTCTCTCACGATATTATTATTTTTTCTTTCTTTAAAGAAGAATACATCTACCAATAGTGTAATTACATAGCTATGCCAGTTGTCTTGCCTCCTTTCTTATAGCAAAAAAAGTGTTTTTAAGGGAGTGGAAAATGCAACACAATATTGTAGAATATTAATAGTAAAAAATTAAGCAAAACAGTGTCATGGCAATCTCCTGGAAACATACCTGCCAACATAATGCTGGATGGATAATGTGCACTTCTACTTTCCACAGAAGATAACATGTGAAAATACAATGAACTACACCAGGGAGTACACATTCAAATAAGTTTAGCCTGGATAAGAGGAGGTCTATCTAAAGGGGTGTCACTGTTAGAATTCCTGTTCCATGACTGCAGTCATGAGATTGTTGTCTTTCACATGACGGTATATGTTTTGACTCCACATAGTGGGAAGTGATGAAGACAGAATGTTTGTGTTACTGTGTTCCGTGAAGTGGGACTATTGTCCTTTGTTCTTTTTCTCTTTGCTGTCTGATGATAGAGAGGGAGCCATGATGCATGCTCTGTGTGTGTTTATATGTAAATAAAGTAGATTAGCCAAAATGCTGAGTTGCTGAGGTCTGTCACGCAAACTGCGCAGACTCTGGGGATCCCTAAGTGTGCCGATGTCTGTTGGCATCGGTCGCTGTGATGTTCAGGCTGAAGAAAGCTTTTGAAGCTCCTGAACGATCGACCAAGAGGGAGAGAACATACCAGTTGGGCATGTGTCTCTGCCAGGGTCCTACTTGAGTGTAGGCTGAGCTCCTGACAGTCACATGGAAGATGGAGCAAGCTTGTTTTCTCCTTCTCCAGAGGTTAGTACTCAAACCAATGGATTCAAGCTACAAGAAAGGAGATTCCAACTAAACGTCAGGAAGAACTTTCTGATGGTAAGCTATTTGACAGTAGAGCGGTCTCCCTCAGAAGGTGGGGGACTCTCCTTCATGGGATGTTTTTAAGCAGAGATTGGATGGTCATCTGTCAGGGATGCTTTAGTTGAAAGTCCAGCACTGCAGAGGATTGGACTAGGTGGCCCTCAGGTTCCCTTCCAAACATAATTCTTTGATTCTCAGTTACTTGTTCTTTCAGTATCCCACAGGCACACACCTCAAATTACTGGTATACATAACCGTGTCTTTTAAAAAATGTTCATCTACCAGTCCACACAGAAATATATTTTATTAAGGCATGTGTTCATATAAAGTAAAAGTGGAAAAGTATGAATATTCCCTTCCAACTCTACAATTCAAAACTATTCTGCCACTTTTTTTGAAAAGAGATCCAATGAAACCAGCCATCAGTATCAAGGGTCTTGATTCAAGATAATCATGTAATTTGGACTTCCACTTTGTCTACTGATCCCTATAATTTCTCCTGGCTAGCAGATGTTTCTCACTATTCTGCTCACTCAGGTACAACTAGGAAGATTTAGGAGCCTGCCTCCAAATCGAACAAATGGTACTAACGAGTATTTATACTATAGCTATCAAACATGCATTTAAAAATATTTCATAGAATCAGAATCACACAGCTGGAAAGATCCCCAAGTTACACGACAATAAGTAATCATCTTAATTTGCTTGCATGGTGTTTACACATCATTCCATTAGTCATATCTTCATCCCAGACTTATTAATGTGCTCCCCCATCTTAAACAGCAAAAAGTTCAGTTTTGTTTTGTTTTTTTAATGGAGTTCTTTTACTAGGGTGACAAAGAACTTTAATTCACTTTCAATGTGGAAACCGAAAGTTCTGACAGGCGACTGAATCACTCTCGTAAAATTCTTACGGTTGGAGGCACCCATAATGCACAATTTAACTTTTTGGGTATTTATAGAGCAAAGCAATGTTCGACTGTAACTCTATACATTTTTACCTGGGTGTAAGTCCCAATGAACTCAGTATGAAGTACTTCTGAGTGGACATATATAGGATTACACCGCTATGCTTCTAGTCAATAAAGGGCGCCATTCATCTATGTATATTGGGTCATTTAAATCTCAACTTCACATATTTTATTGTTTCTCTTAAAGGCAACACCTTTATTACAAGTTTGGATTAACATTTCCAGATTGTGATTCTCAGTTTGAGGTGATTTGGTGTGGTTCCTCCCTCCTTCTCCCTTACACTTACACACACACACACACTTATAATTATATTGGAAGTTCTTATATATTAGATCTTATTTGTGCCTCAGGAGGATACTTAATGTTAGTTGTTTCTACAAAGGCTATATTGTGTTCACAGACAAGTTCTCCCTTAAGTTACTTATGCTTGATCTTAAAAAAACAAACAAACCAAAAGCCTAAGATAAATGGTTTTTAATAATGCTACTCAGGATGGTGCTGAAAACTTCCTCCAATATACGCAGTACTCTCAAACAAATCTCTGCTGGTACAAATGATCCCAACACATAAAGAGTGTTCAGTACTAGGTAAAATAATGCTTACAAAATAGCTCATCTTCTGCCTTCATAACCCAGGTAATGAAGTGGATTACAATGCAATTAGCCCAGAGTAGGTGTCATATG